AGCTCACACAAACGTATCTCAGTACAGTACTGTGTGTTGCTTTGATTGTGTTCTAGTTTTATCAACTGTGTGGTGACCTCCAGTGGCATGCCTGGTGGGGTAGGTGTGTGCGGTAGAGCTGAATGTGAGTTGAATAAACTATTTGGAATTTTCAGTACACTAATGTTTCTGACAAAAGCAAAGCATGATGCTGCCAGCCTCTCCTCAGCCTCCAACCAGGAGAGACTGACACGCATTTTGTTAATGTTGGACCATGGTGTGTACTGATGGGCGAGATGAGCTGCTTCTTTCTGAGTCAGCTGCAATTTCCCTAGATCCTTCTTTGTAGCACCTGATCATTTCATTAAGCAACAGCCGAGATAAGACCAGAGTCTGCAGTACTTGTGTGGTCAAGTGTGGTGTTAATAAAGCAGAGCGGCTCTTTTAACAGACATTTTCCTCCCCAGTTTTTACAACAAGAGAATCTATATGCCCTGTCCAGTTTACAATCAAACATAACACCAAGATGATCTATTTCTTCTACCTGCTCAATGGTTATATTGTTTATCTTTAAATTCATGTGGGGTTTAGAGCTAAAGGACCAATCTGTTAGCTACAAAATACGATGCTTTGTCTTTGATGTATGTTATGTGATATATGAAGACAAGTTTCTTGCTAGAAACCCACTGTCTGCAACTCTTTGTTGAGTGTTGGTCACAAAGCCTTTTCAATTGCAAGTTGAAGATCATTAGTAAAGACAGAAAAAAGGAAGGGGCCAAGTGAACTTCCCTGTGGGATTCCACATTCTTCACCTCTGGCTTCTATTAAAGAAAACTCTTTGTGTTCTATGTGTGTGTTATCCATGATAGGGCGGAAGGACCAAAACCATTACATATGCACTTTTTCAATGATAATTTTTGTGATAAAATTTACATTCCACTCCCACAGTGGAAGTGAGCAAGACAGGCTGATTGACATCCAGTCTGAAAACAGGAGCTTGACAGTCTAGCTTGCTAACATTCTCACTGATTCCCACAAGTCGGAACTTTTTGTTCATATTATTTAAACACATGCTGAATCATTGGCAGCTCCCCCATACTCAGTGATTGGTTTGTCTCATATTATACAAAATTATTAGGCTAGTTAGCATTAGCCGTCTTTCTGTCATGAGTTTGAAAGTGATTATGACCAACAACCAGACTGTCAACACTCTACAGTAACCTGCAGTCCTGTAACTTCAGTACGCCTACTCTGTATTTTACTCTGGGATTCGAATCATGCTTTCTCTACGGGAAGAGCAACCTAGGGGGCAATTCATCATTCATTATCAACCACAGAGGAATCTGAAAGGGCACTTTTGCGGTGACGTGTTGTTGTTTTTTTTGTTTTCTTTTTAACATTGTGGCACCAAGGGAGGCAGCCCACCCCCAAGTGTGCCTGTGTGTCTGTTTGCGTTACAGCAATTTTACCAGCTATTTTTGGTGCCTGCCTACCAGATATTGCATGTGTTGCTTGTGTAAGCTGGAACGACCCCTGAAATACATAAATATAAGTGTCAGTAACAGTAATTGCAGTATTGACGAATAAGTAGAGATGCCCTCAATCATTTTTTGTTTCTTTTTTTTCCGACAATACTGGCAGTCGATTGTCTATTAGCCATATCAGCCAATACCCATTCTTTTTTTGTTGTTTTGATTTGTTATAGCAGCCGGTATTGTTTTATTACAGTAACAGTCAGTTTGACTGGGATCTCCACCAGGTGGCAGCGTAAACTATGCTCTACACAAAGAAATACAATTAGTATTTTTTTTTCTATGGCTCTACAGTATGAAGTAAAGAATTCCAAAAGTCAGTCTCATTGGTTTCTTATTCTGTCAACAACAGGCGTGTGCTTCATCCATTTAATCAACAGACAAGTACAAAGAAGAGTAATGCAACGTAGTAGCCTGCAGTGGATCAAGAAAGACAACTGAAATACGTAATGTTGTCTCTCTATCCCTCCTTTTGCGTATCAGTGTGTGATGTGTGGGGACAGCAGGAGGTTGCCTCTTGCTGCAGGAGTGGGAGTTTAGTTGTAGAAATGTGTAAAACAGCGTACCTACTGTTCGCTTTCCAGCTTCAGCCTCCAGACTGCGGTCAGAAAGAATGGGGAGATGTTTTGTTTCTTACAGGACGGGAGTCTGTACTCACAGCGGAGCTAACCACGTCACTCCACTGTGCTGGTGTTGAGGAGCATTTATTAGCGCACAAACTTTAAACTGCACTGCATATTCACTTGATATCTTCACCACAAAACCTAAACTCTCAGCTACTCCGATCACTATCTTTTTCTCTATCACACACTCCTTACGCATTTACACACAGACTACTGGTTCTGCTATTGTCCAAATGACCTCTTATAAATAGTTAAAACACATAGAAAAGCCAAGTAGTCACTGGTTTGCTAGCCGCTGATACCCTCCCTAACACATATAATCTGCAACTAGAAAGCATTATTCTTGATCTCCCAATGCATTTTTATATTCTTACTGAATACTGGATGATAACGAATGGCAGCTGATCGATCTGGGCATCTCTACATATAAGCATACAAGTCAAAACAAACACAGGGGATCTGATTTCTCAACAAAACTGAATTATAATTGGCCCTTCAAACAGAAACTGAGGCCTTGAGACTGCATTACGCACATTTTACAGCCCAAAACTTCTCAGGAAGAGAAGAGAACAAAATTAAACCAAGGCAATCACCCTTATAATCACCATCCTTTAATTCATCAAACATGCCCTCATCAAATACCAAGCCCACTCTCTTATTTTCCAAAATGCACTTTTGTTGTTCTTCTCCTCCACCCCCCATCTTTGTTCAAGTGGAGCCAACTGGTTAAACTCCATCAAACAAAACATAATAACAGGAAATTGTACACAAGAAACAGTTTTTCCCTCCTCCTCTTCTTCCCTGTTCTTTCTTTCCCACATTAAAACTCTCCTGACATTATAGTACAACATCCACTGACCCTGTAGATTTGTTCAGTCATAAATCACTGAGACACCTTGAGTTTTGTTTGGGGATTTAGAAATCATAACACTTCCCTGGACCGCCATTGTCTTTACAGCCAGGCTCATAAACACTTTCGGGAAAATCCCACAGAACATCCAGCAGGCTGCCTTCTATCTAACTTCACCATTACTCACACATTTGGTTCCAGGACAAGCAAACGCAAACACAATATCTGTCCCAGTTAAGCCACAGAGAAACAGTCATGCCATTCATGTTGATTAGTCGGGTATGAAAATAATGAAGGCGACGCTCATTTCATATTGACCTTTTGCCCTTTGCTGTCAGTCTGTATCCCCCTATTCTGTCCAGTTTAATTTCTCACTACAGGAGTTGCCTTTTATGCATTCATTGTGTTACATTTATTTATTTGCCACTTTTAACACATCCACCCTTTGATTAAAAGTGTATTGCATATACGACTTTTGCTCACATATAACATATATTTAACACGGATCTTTAATTTTCAAGATTTTTAACATCATGTGCCACAATGAGAATAAAAAAGGCAATTACTCCAGTAAATTTCATAACAACTTAGCCTGCTGAGTGCTCTTTAAAAATAGCTACAGTGTGTTACTCTTTAACATACACTAAATACAGTACCTCTCAGTGTAATGAGCGGCCTACACCCATATAGTAATTGTGAGAATATTAACACCCACACCCTCACTTTTTGGAGCCGGGTTGCTAGGGGCTGCCTAAAGACTTAAAAAGAATGGCACTATTTTAAATACCCACCAATTAAAGCTCACTTTTAAACATGGGATGCAGCTGCTGCTAAGAAACAGTGTTTCATTTGAATTTCATCAGAGAACTTATTCCAGTCAAACATCCAGGGGCGAAATCTTCATCTTTAGGCATGGGTGGAGGGTAGGGGTAACCGGGTTAGGGGTTTAGTTAGAACTCTAAAACACACACACACACACACACACACACACACGCATGAAAATACTATTTGCATCCTTATGTTCACACCTGGCACACAGTTTGAAAAGGTTTTGTAAAAAAAATTGGAAACACGTGTTATTTTTCTGTATTTGTAGTATTAACTTTTCAAACTTTACAAATTTCCATTTTTTACACATATGTGAGGGTGGGGGCGGTGTCACACCGTCTCCTGTGGGGTTTACACATTTGCAAACACCGCTGTATGCCTTTGAGAAATGCTGCAGCCAGAAGCACCAGCTCACATAAGCCAACACCCACATGCTCATAATTAAAGGTGAATTGCACAGCCTGTGGCAATTTGCATCCTGTGACGTGAGTACATGGCTGCTGAAATTTCACCAGACAGGTCTGATAGCAGAAACAGGAGAAGTGCATTGTGTCTTTCCACCGAGAACAGGAAAGAATTGGAAATTACCATTAGTTGCATTTGTCTACCCTTTGACTTGAGCTTCACATCACATACACAGCGACACCTTCCAGTTTTTATCCACCAGTACTAAAAGTAGAACTTCTGTAAATGTCTGAGCTTGCTGTTATCTGAATCTAATTTAAACACACTAACTTAATACAATTTAGCCCAAACTTTTAATGCATTAAAAGTGTTAATATGGAGTTGATGTCATATGGTGTAACCCACGGGATCTAGTGCAGATTGTTCTCTGGGGGGGCTTATAAAGCTAATTTATTGGATGTAGCATTTTAATTAGTTTGATCAATACTCTATTACAGAGGATTTAAATGTGATGTGCAGGGAACAGGCAACTCATTGCACATGAATGAATGATCATGTTTCAAAATGTCAGAGCTTCCGTTTGCTGCCGGGCGATCCTGGATTTATTCCAGCTTAATAATTGATAAATTAATCGCCCGTGAATTCAAAAGCATAAAACATCCTTTTTGTCAAACGCTGGAGGTTCAAGTGTTGCAGAGAAGCATGTGTGTGAGCCGCCGTGTCACACAGGTGCATTTCACACAGGGAAAGTATAGAGGGAATGTGGAAAGGAAATCTGGTTACCTCGCACGGGGGTTTCTGGGAAGATCTCTGCGCGCCTCTCGGGTTTGGGTTGATCTCAGGAGCGGAGGATGAGGATGATGCTGAGCCGCGGAGCGCACTTTTGCGCACTGACGGTCCACATAGAAGAAAAGCGTCCGTCTTTCCTCTCGGCCACTCTCATCACTGATTAATTTGAAAGCAGACACCAGGAGGGGACGGAGTCCTTGTTTATTCAGAGCGGATAACTCGACTCCGTCTCCGACTCACGCAGACGAGCCTGTGTGTAGAAACGCGGGGAGAGTTGTGCCCAAGCCCGCTGCTTTGCGTAGCAGACTGGAGGGAGCGGGGAGGAGCCGTCTGCCGTCAGATGATCAGGGCAAGGTGTTCTCCTCACTGATACTCTGCAATCCCCAGCCTTAGCAGAGCTGCAGTCCATACTTTAACACAATAATCCCGATCTAATCACCTGCTTTCAGCGGGAAAGGCTACTTACACTGTCACTTATACTGGCTATATTATGCATGTGCAGAGAGTAGGCTACAGGCTACATGTGGTCAGGTGATAAATATTTATTATTTCAGCTTCATAGTCTACTGGATCTACTCATTAGATACACTATAGTACACATATGCCTAAAGAGTAACTGGTCCATATGAAATAAACAGTGACATGAAACATCTATGACGTGTTATATCACTGTATATTAACACCATGGAGAAATCAAGACATATGGTAAACTGCAGAGCCACTTTTAGCAGAAACAGCATTCCAAGGTCATCAGAACATCAATACTCACTCCACTGTAGGTTTTGTAAAAAAATATAGCAATATAACAAACTCTAGTGCCACAAGAAATTGAAGGGGCATTGAAGCAATTTAAAGGCCCTGACACACGAAGTTGGGCCATTGGTGAGTGTCTGTTGCCCTAGATGGTGCGTTATGTCCCATGCTGTTGATGTTGTTGGCCGATTCAGCATGTTGAATGGGTGTTTGCAATGGTGGAGGCCGTGACATCACTCTGATTGGCAGTTCAGCTCAGTGAGGAAAGTAAACAATTAAACTTGTTACATGAGGTAAGATTAATTTTCTTCAGCCATTGAGCTATTCAGCAGAAATGTTTCGTGATGGTTTGTGGTGTTGTTCACTGGCTCACTGTAAATATGCTCTGTTATTTCAGCATCAGACTATGTTGTTAATGTGCTAAATGGTAACTAGCATCAAGATAGTCTTTCAGTTTCCGTTTGTGAATGACGAATACAGATTACTACTGTCTGCTGGTGTGGAGAGTTATTTCCTCTAATGCAGGCGCAGAACACACCTGCTAGTTAGTCTTTGCGGTGTGTTCATGTGCAACTTTTTGCCCGAGACAGAGCAACATGAGGAAATCCAACAGTTCTCTGAAGTTGGTTTGGTGTGTCTGGGCCTTACCATGTGAAGTTCAGTTTACTCCTCACAAGGTAAGACAACCCTGATGATGGGTACCAAGACATTCGTACTCCCAACTCATAAAATACTGACACTTTGTCATTCCCCCTGCACATCAAACCATGACACTCCAGGTACCCTCCAGCAATAATTTTGGATGCAGTTTCAGTTTCCACTTGTTGAATACATAGTCTGTTTTCAAAATAAACTTAGAACGTGGGTAAAAAAAATGATTTTAGGTTTACTAACTGAAGTTTAGGCAATAAAAGCACATGATAATATTCACAAAAGACATCATGGTTTTGCTTTAAATAAGTACATTTGTTACAATCGTAATGTATCTTCATATGACTTACATCACTAGCATAATTACACATACTAGCACACTACAGTGTTATTGTAAAAAATACTTGGTACACTTTTGTTTTCATCAGGGACACAAACAGCTTTCGCACAGGTGAAAGTCTAGAGTTTGTTTGACCCGTTCAACTGTTCTCCCGCCCAGCCTGTATGGACTTTCTTGCTCTTTACACTACAGTAGTTGCTTGGAGCATCAAATAATGCCACCATCACGTCCATCTCATACCTCTGCTAAAGGGGGGCCTCAGTGTATCAGTATCTGATGCCATGGGCCACTGACCAAATGACAGTATTTGACCAGTTTGGTGTGAGATCAGGTTGTGTCATCAGGGTTAATACAGCTTGGGCTTGAGCCTGCATTCAAATCTTTATGTGTGGTTTGGAAGAAGTCAAATGAAAGATGCAGGTGAGTTGCATTAGGGGGAATGTGGGATTGAGAGATAATGGAGCCCCACACATTCTAGACCAACCCAAGTGCTTGTCAGATGGTTGAACAGCGTCTAAAATCCCCCCTCCCACACACCTCTCCACTCCTGAGGTGAAGTAGGATTTGAACTTTTCTCTCCTTTTTTTCCCTTTTTTTTGCATACCCGTATCTGTCAATTTCTATGTGTTTAATCACAAGGAATGGTTCCCAGGAAAGATCATTTGAAAGTGTGAAACAGCTATCCCCATATTTAAAAGATTATCACCTCTGTTTGACAGCGGGCTTTTCACCACGTCTTTGAGTGTGGCCATTCCAACAGCTATAAACACTGCTCTGTTCAACTTGGTCAGGACCTGGTGACAGTAACGGCCATAGCATATGATTTATCATCCAGCCAGCCCTCGGCAAATGTCTCATCATAGGATACAGATGATCACTGAGAATAACTTTGTATTGATTTGCAGTGACCCTCCCCTGTGAGGGGACAAAAGTCAGGAAAATTCTCACACCTCAAAGCATCTTCATTCATTACTGTTACACTGCTCCACTTTATTCAGGTTTTCCTTTAATGTATCACCAGTCTGTAGTTAGTGTACATATTTTGTACAGGAATGTGTGCTCCTGTGTGCTACGGGACATTATAAAGCAGTGGGTAGGTGGTATTCTTTGCCCGTTACAGATATCGCCACATGTTATGCTTGTCTCCAGAAATTATTGATTTTTTTCCCTGAACCTAACAAAAAGGAAATTGTTAACTCTACCTTTGTCTAAAGCAGTCTGATTCAAAGTTTAACCCATACTTATTGACGTACCACCAAACTTTACCCGCTCTATCTCCCTCTGTTAACATCTGCTTGAGTCTCTAAGTCTAAAAAAAGACTCATCACCTCACAGGTGGGACATAATGTCTGAAAAAGACAAAGCTCTTTTACAAAGAAAGGGTCAGATATGCCTGGGAGCGACATGTGAATCCAAAATCCCCATTTATAATGGAAGTGTGTGTGTGTCTAACATCCCCATTGACTACGCTCTCTGCTTCCTACAGGAGACTGTCTCAGAATCCTCACTGTTGTGGCCGGATGCTTAAAATGAGAGCCAAAGAAAGGGCAAGCGAAGGGCGCATTTATATTTCAACAACCCAGTCCACCTTTAGAGAGAAGGAGAAAGACAGATATCGTATTTGATCACTTAAAAATGTATGGTGTTTGTACGGCAAAAGATGGCAGCTGCATGTAGATCTCATTGCTCAGAAATGGGGCCAATGAAGAAGTCGAAGCCTAGTCAGCACCAGCAAGGCTGACATGGGAATCCTTAAAAAAGTCAGTTTTAGCTTTAATTGAGCACAAAAGAGCTCTTTCAAATGATGGGGTAACAGTTTGGGAAGTGGAAACTAAAATTCTGCCCTTGTTAATAAAATATAATGCTGTACTAGATAAAAAAATGTTGGGAAATGGGAAATCTAGGACCCCAAGGGTTTCTGACCCTACTTTGAGGACTGCTGGGGTGTAAGAGATGGAATAGTTCCGGGCTGTACTTTGCAGCGTGCAGATGTATTTGATAATTTATCAGGCGCCTGTTCTCCAAGCAGCAGTGATAACCTACAGCCCACAGCCGGCAAGACACCTTGAGTCACGAGGTCTCAGGCTCAAAATGAACTTTTCATGCTGACTCAATGATATTTTGATAGATTGATACAGGCAATATTTCAAATCATATCCTTAATACTGTTAACTTTTCAGGGGAGGATCTTACATTAAATGTGCTGTGCAAGCCATTATTTATTGAATAGGGATTTTATGACTTTCATATTCATTTCACTGGTATTTTACCCAGCTTGTTCTTTTTTCATTCGTTCATTTGCCGATGGATTATTTGTGACACTGACCCTTACAGGCATTCAGTCGCTTGCCAGTAGCTCTAATACAACAGTCTTTTGGTGTAATTTGAGTGTTCTGTGTTGCTGAGTGTTGTGTAATCTGCTTCCACAACACAATGTGCAACCAGAGAGCTGCACCGGTGCTGTTCAGACGTGTCCCATCCTGGCCTGGAAAAGACTCCCGCTGATGAAATTTTCATTGAGCAGATGAAGCGGAGCGTAGCTTCATAATTCTCTGGTGAGTTGCATCAGCTTGTGCTGATATCGTTCTATCAAGACCCACTAAGAGCAGATTTGATGTCTTGATAGCTGAGGGAACATGTTTTGTTTGTGGATGATCCTACTTGGGGTGTGTTGGAGCTTTGGAATACATGCAGACTGAGATATAGTTTTGGATCATTGTGGCAATTTATTGTGCTTTAACTGTCAATACAACAATGCTCTGTGGTTGAAGTGACTACAGGATGACCAGCTTTTGTTGAAATGCCCAACAAGGATTCTGCTGCACTCTTAGAAATTAAGGTGCTAACTAGAATCCAATAGGGTTCTTTGGCTTAGCCCTATAGGAGAACCCTATTTGGATCCTGGAAGGACCTTTTATAGAGCTTCCACCTGGAATCCTTTCACATAAAAGGTTCTACCTAGAAGCATCTGTGAAAGGTTTCACCCAGAACCCTGTATGAGAGGGTCTACAGAGAACCCTTCTATGGTGTGGTGCTAATGGTTCCACCCTGAACCATCTCTCTTACCACTTTTCCACCAACATAAACTGGTTCAGTTCTGGTTCCTGCAAATAATTTTGAACCATGGTGTCAGCCATGATGACAGTCATCAGCCATCAGTCGTCAGTCAGCCCATCAGTGGTCGTGTCATATTCTACAGATTGGAAAGAGAGGATGGTGACGGCGACAATGGAGAAGTCAAGTGAGAAATCATTGAGAAAAAAAAGTGGTCTCATTAATAGTTGGTCCATGATTGTTTTTTTGGAAAAAACAAATATCTATAATAATACAACAAAAGCTCCCAGGTAATCAATACAATCCACCATCTTGCTACTAATGTTTACTTCTGCGGTGCATTGTACAAAACCCTCCACTCATGATACATTCTTGATTAAGATGGTTCTGCTCAAAACTGGTGGAGAGCACCAAGGTTCCAAAAACCCTAAACAGCCTTTCTATCTTCTAAAGGGGTAACAATAACCCAGTCAGAGGGTTCTAACAAGAACCCTTTTGTATTCCAAGGGTTTCATCTAT